TCCGGTGTCTTTTTTTGTAGAAAAAATAAAATCTTGATGGAAAAATGACCCGACCCGACCAAGGCACGAATAGTCCTGAGTCTGAGTCTAATTTTTTAATTTGTGGACCGACCCAAATCAGGATGGGCCAGAACAAACCAAATTTAGATCCCTACTTCTTTTCTTCATAGATTCACTGCCATTCCTTCATCTTTTTTTTCATCAACTGTTACTCCTCTCATTTGCTAATTCACTGTCACTCATTTTCTTCCTTCTGTGGTCCGTAGCCACTGCCATCATCCAACATTATTGACAAAAATTAGTTAAAATATCTATTCTCCATTAATTATAATTTACAGATTATTAGGATTAATACCACCTTAAAAGTTAAAAAAATAAATTAATAAATGATTTCAAAAAAATTTGATAAAAAAATTAGAGTAGTTGATATTAAATTTTTTACTCAAATTTAAAATTAAATTAAATGAAAAAAATTAGTTTCACAAAATAAAATTCCACTCTCTCTCTTCCAGGTAAACCCCCCATCCGCAACAAAACCCCACACCGATTCGACGACATCTCGAAGTGGCTTCGCCTACTGCTTCCTCTCGGATGCGATGAAAGCTTGTGAAGATAGCGTTGTCAAGGTTCCTGAGGTTGTGTTGATCCTATTTCCATTCAAAATTGCTGGATTAAGGTACTCTTCTCACATGTATACACTATACATACATGCAATTCTTATATAGTTGAATCATATGCCCATCCCTATAATTGGGTATTGTGAAGAAAGTGGAATAATTGAAAAAATAAGAGGAATTGATGCAATGTGGAAAGGAATAAAGCATACTGCACATGTCTTTCATCTAATGTACTTGAAATTAAATATATATATATATATATATATGATCATGGAATGCCTCTTTCACATTGATAGACCTTTTATATAGAAGATGCCTTTGTTTGATACTTGATGTGAGCACAAATACCACTTTTTTACTTCTTAATTTGGATCACCTTGATACCTATTAATTACTTAAATAATCATATCATGGATTTGGATAGTAATTTGGAAATGAAAAGGGGGAAAGGTAGGTGAAATGCTAATGAAATATAGCTACATTTCACCCATTTTTTTCCCTTTTCCCAATCCAAATCTTTACCCAAATCCATGTTCAAAACACAGCCTTAGGGACTGTTTGTTTAGCAGGATTAATAGTGAGAGGATTGATAATATGAGATTAGTGTATGATTGGTTATCTAGCTGGATTAGTGGGATAAATAATTCCTTATTTTCCACGTTTGTTTTGCAATGGATATGAAAATATACAATCCCAATTATATGTTTGTTTTGAAATATTAGTTATAAGATTAAAAAATCTGCCAATTTTTGTTAGATGGAATGTTATCAGAATCTTATCCGAATAATAAAAATTGCAACCAAATACTAGAATGTGAGTCTTATGGATTAATAATCTCAATACTATGTTATAATCCACCCAATCAAACAGACCCTTAAGGTACTAGGGTGTATTAGGAATGCCATGGGTACTTTTAACTTCTTACTACTATGGAAAATGCTAAAGAATATATTCATAAATAGACTTATAACTTAAAAGATTTATCAACTGCAGCTGTCATTAACAAAAAGAAAAAGAAAGTAGAAAAGAAGAGAGGAAGGAAAGTGCAACTCATTTTAACAAAAAGAACGAATGCTATCCATAGACAAGTTTGTTTTGAAAATATTCAAGATACAATGTTGTCCACTCTTTCTAGGGAAAGAAAATGGAAAAGGTAAATATTTTTTTACACACTTTGTATCTAAAATGGTTTGAGAATCTTACAGTCTTACAATTACTTGTTTTCATCATTGCTGTCATGGCCTCATCAAAATGAAAAGCTCCTCATTGTTATCTTTGTTGTCGCCATCATTCTTGTAATTGGTGTGGAACCATCACCATTATCATCGTCATTACCACCATTTTTAAAATGACTAAAAATTATTATGAAACGAATGAAAAGTACATTGAATTCTACATTTATTATGTATTTATTTTTTGGCAATGGCTTACCTCTAGTCCGTGATCGGACTGGAGGGTACTGTTAGGCTCGTAGAGGCCTACCATGGGTCTCGTTTTAATAATCCGAATTGTTTAATGTGTAGGACTTGTCGAATACTATATGTCTATAAAAAAATCACGTTGATCGGATATCTATAACTATGTGATCAAATCAGATTTTTGTAAGCTCTTTATTTTTCACCATCAATTTTTTTTTATACAAAACTGATTTGATCACATAGTTATCAATATTCAATCAACGTGATTATTTACAGGCATATAACACTCGACGAGTTCTATACATTGAACGATTTGAATTATCGAAATGAAACCCATAATAAGCCTCTGTAAATCTAACAGTACCCTCTAATCCAACCACGGACTAAAGAGAAGTCATTCCTTATTTTTTATAACACTTGTTAACCAGAAAATGGCGTCATTGCTGTGACCCCTCGCTGGTGTGCACTTGCTCTGCCTAAAACGACACAATTTCACCTTCTTTTTTTTTGGTTTTCTTTTTGTGTTTTTTTTTTAAAATTTTTTATTCTGATCATCTTCTCGCTATTTAAGTATGTTTTAGTAGTGTTTAAAAATCACGTGTAACGTTTTTTTAATTATTTTAGAGTTAAATTATTTTTAAAAGGGTGAAATTATTTAAAAAAAAAAAATAGAGTTTGACTTCTATAATAAAATTAAACTTTTAAATTTTAATTTTGTTAATTTAAATCATAATATTTTTATTTGCTATCAATCCAAATCATGCACCTATTTTTATTACGAAAAATTGATGAAAAAAAAGATTATTTTAGTCATTAAATTTAATATAGATATACATAAAATATATAAAAATATCATTTTTCGTTGAGTATAATGACTAAAATATAATTTTTTGGGAGTTTACTTAACAAAAATAGTTAAAATAGTTTAGATTGAAAATAAATTAAAATATCATGATTTAAATTAATAAAATTAAAAGATTAAGATTATTTTGTTTATAGGGATCAAACCATGTTTTTTCTTTTTTTTTTTTGTAATTTTTTCTAAAGGAAGTTAATATAATATAATTTTCTGTCTATATATATAGACATACTTATAAATAAATTAATTTAAATTATCACTCATATTAATTTAACGTACACTTTTTTACATTGTCAATATCACAACATATTTTTAATATAATTTTATATGTATGTATATATAGAAATACACATAAATAATTTAATTAATATTATCATATATATTTATTTAATTAAGGAAGTGCCTATAATCTTTTCGTAAAATGTTATGGAGTGTTAGTATATTTTTACTAAATGACAAGGGTGTTTGTGATTTAACTAAGCCTTTGTTTGGTTTTTCTCCCAGGCTATATAATCACAAAAGACAAAAAAAAAAAAAGCTACAAAATCACAAAAAGACAAAAAAGCTACAAAAGTACCAAAATATCCCATATACAAACAAAAAGTCAAAAAAGTATCATTCTATACTGAGGGCAATTTTGTCATTCTAAAGCCAAAACGTCAAAAAAGCCAAATAAGAATACCAAACGATTAAAAAAGTCTCAGGCTAAAAAAGTCAAAAAAATAAAAAAACCAACAAAAAAAGCCAAAACCAAACGACACCTAAAATGTCAAAGGTGTTTGTAATATAAGTTCCAAATGTCAAGGGGCATTTGTGATATATTCAAAATATTTTTTTCTATTGATTTTGCTTAATGAAAATATGTAAATGGTTTACATTAAAAATAAATTAAAAATTTAAACTTTAAATTAATAAAATTAAAAATTCATAATTTATTTTGTTATAAAGGTTAAACTTTAGAGTGATAATAAACAAAAACATATTAATTACTTATATCATCACATCACGGATTTGGAAATGGAAAGGGGGAAAGGTAGGTGAAATGCTAATGAAATATAGTTACATTTCACCCATTTTTTTTCCTTTTCCCAATCCAAATCTTTACCCAAATCCATGTTCAAAACACAGCCTTAGGAACTGTTTGTTTAGCAGGATTAATAGTGAGAGGATTAATAATCTATGAGATTAGTGTATGATTGGTTATCTAGCTGGATTAGTGGGATAAATAATTCCTTATTTTTCACGTTTGTTTTGCAATGGATATGAAAATATATAATCCCAATTATATGTTTGTTTTGAAATATTAATTATAAGATTAAAAAATTTGCCAATTTTGTTAGATGGAATGTTATCGGAATCTAATCTGAATAATAAAAATTGCAACCAAATACTGGAATGTGAGTCTTATGGATTAATAATCTCAATACTATGTGATAATCCACCCAATCAAACATGCCCTTAAGGTACTAGGGTATATTAGGAATGCCATGGGTACTTTTAACTTCTTAGTACTATGGAAAATGCTAAAGAATATATTCATAAATAGACTTATAACTTAAAAGATTTAAAGAAAGTAGAAAAGAAGAGAGGAAGGAATGAAGTGCAACTCATTTTAAGAAAAAGAATGAATGCCATCCATAGACAAGTTTGTTTTGAAAATATTCAAGATTCAATGTTGTCCTCTCTTTCGAGGGAAAGAAAATGGAAAAGGTAAATATTTTTTTACACACTTTGTATCTAAAATGGTTTGAGAATCTTACAGTCTTACAATTACTTGTTTTCATCATTGCTGTCATGGCCTCATCAAAATGAAAAGCTCCTCATTGTTATCTTTGTTGTCGCCATCATTCTTGTAATTGGTGTGGAACCATCACCATTATCATCATCATTACCACCATTTTTGTAAACTACTTTTTCATCCTAAATGAATACACAACAGTGAAGTAGAAAATTTGTTTGTGAACAAAATACTTCTTCAAAGGAGCTAGGATTCTATAATGGGCATAAAACTTACATATTGTTGTTGTTGTGGTTGCGGTTGCGGTTGCGGTTGTTGTTGTTGTTGTTGTTCTTCTTCTTCTTCTTCTTCTTCTTGCTATTGTGAAAATAACAGTATAAGATACGTTGATAACTTACCTAAAAGTGTTAACCAAGGATGTCTAAAACTTGCAAAAAGAAATCCCAAAAGAAAGCCTTATTTCGAATTTTTTTGATAGGTTTTTGTTACTCCCATCAAATATTTTGAAAATAGCTTTTCTCACTCATAGAGGAAGAGTACATGCTAGTGTCCTCTTCACTTTCGATGTGAGACTTAGAACATGCCTAGCAGTAGCCAAGGTTGTTACAATCTTCTATCGCCACAATTAATTCTTTTTAGTTATGTCTAAATACCATGACTGCCTCCTGGTTAACCATGAAATGCTGCAGGGCTCTCGAGCCCACATGTTCATGTGCACAAGTCAGCTCTCACAATAATTCTCTCTGGAGCTGCTACAACCCCTTGACTCCTACAGGCTACGTTGGAACTAGCCAAGTGTATGGCTTTCTTCTCAAGAGAGCAGAGAAACGCATACAGTCACCCAAGGTGTGACCATTGAGACTTGTTGGACAACACAAATCTAGAATGCAACAATCCAATTGAGAATTAACCTAAAAATGCAAATTATTAATACATAGGCTTGTAAAGTTTGAGGCCCAAATATGACACGAACATGCCCAGAAACAAACATGATTGCCTAAGGTGACCATTGTGACTTATTAGATGATACGAATCTAGAATGCTATAAACGAATTGAGAATTAGCTTAAAAATGCAAATTCTTCGTACATAGGCTTGTAAAGTTTGATGTCCAAATATGGCCTGAACGTGTCTAGAAACGCAGACGATCACCTAGGGTGTGACCATCAAGACTTCTTAGGTGACACAACTCTATAACGTGACAATCCAATTGAGAATTAGCCAAAAAATGTAAATTCTTAACGCATAGATTTGTAAAGTTTGAGATGATACTAGAAGTAACATTGTGGGAACTCAACTCACCCATAACCCTCATCACAAAATTCTGACGTGGGATCAACATATGTCAGTTCAGGTTGGTGTTGTCACAAAAAGTTTAAGTCAATTATGAAAATTGTGTGGATTTAGACTTATATGGCTTTTGGTATATGGATGTGTGCATGTGTGTGTGTTCTTTACATGTAACTAAGAAAAACGATTCTTGTACCACAAGGAATCTGTGGCACCCCAATGAACCTTTTGAGTTGTCATTACTCTTCTAAAATTAAGCCATTTAGAAAAGAAGTGTGTACTTTAGAATTTATTGGGCCTTGGGGTGTAGGTGTAATGTAACCAATTGCAAACTTTCGATGTAGGACTCAACACATGCCCATCTAGGCCAGTGTTGTGAAAAACTCGTTCCTCCATCCATGTTATCGTTGACATCCTTGCCATAGGTCCAAGTTAGCTCCACTACAATGGTGCGTAAACATTTTTTAATGATAAAATTTACCTTAAAGTATATAATGGAACGAAAAGGTGAGTGGTCATCATGTGTAGCTAGAGTTGTTGAGTGTCTAGAGCATACCTTTCCTTGGGTGAAGAGGTAATGAATGGTGTCATTGAGCTCGCCCCTCCAGTCTCCTGTTTCTGTCTCTGTCTCTTCCCAGTCCGACACATCTGTCCATAAATCTGTTTCTCTTACATAAATTAGGAGCCACGGCTGTCCCTCTTTCAGTTTCACTTCCCTTAACTTTGGGGTGCTTAAGTACTCTTGAGAGAAAGTCTCCATTTTGGGGCATTTAAGGACAGCTACACGTTCTAGCATTGGCAATTCTAAAGTACAAGAGATGCTGCAAAAACTCCTCAGCCTCAGTAAACTTTTTAGTTTCAAATATTTTAGCCTGGGGAACAAAATTTTATCTATCTTTCCTTCGCCTCCTTCCTCTTTAACTATTTCTTCCATCTTAAAACAACGATATATTGTTAGTTCTTGAAGATACACAAGAGCTTTGACCATGGATTGAGAGAACAGATTTGTCAAACTGCTACAATCTTTAACAATCAACGACGATAATTTTTTAAAGAGAACTCCGCGGTGATCGTTCTTGCATATTTGTGTGAGTCCATAAAGTTGGATCAAAGTGAGTTTTCTCAACTGTGTAGTTGTTAGCTCCCCTACCTCTCCAAATACTTCTTCCACCGAACCACAGTACCATATAGTGACATCTTCAAGATTTGGCATCAATATAAGCATTTGAGATGGAATTACATTTGTTAATTTGCTACAAAACTTCACATTTAGTGCTTTTAGTTTGCCAAAGGAGCCAATCAGAAGTTGGTTGGACCATATCTCCTTTACGTTCTGTAGTCCACAGAGCTCCAAGTTCTCCAAGTTAGGAAATGTAACCTGTAGACATCTCTATGTTAAAGATACACTGAAAAGTAGTATAAAAAGAGAGTTCAAGTTTGACTAACATTTAATTTCTACTTACGTTTTCATTGAAGAGAGGTTGCATGGGATTTTGAAGGTTGTCATCTGAGAGCTCCTCTCTAGATCCTTCATCAATCACCTTCACTTTTGAGTAGAAACTCTCAAGGTTTGGCAGACTTTCAAGCTTCAAGAATTTCAATTTTGGGAACTCAATTTTAACCATTGAACTTTCACCTTGTTCATTCCCCTCTGCGACAATTACTGACATCATCTTACATTCACATATCTCTAGTTCTTCGAGTTGTGCCATACTATTGATCACCATGTCTTGTGAGAACAGATATCTCACATTGTCACATCCATGAACATGTAGAACACGCAGGCCTGGAAAGTACACATATCCCATTGGCTCCCTCTTTGAAATATAGTTCAATTTCGGTAGATTTTTTAATTTCACTGATTTCAATTGAGAGAGCATGACTGAATCTCCTTCTTTAATATGTAGACCCTCCAATTCAAATACCTTTTCTAACAACCTGCAACCTTCTATGATGAGTTCTTCAAGATTTTGCAGCCTTGACAGCAAACATGACGGAATAGCTTTCAACAGTTTGTTGCACTCTTCCACCAGTATTTTTCTTAGTTTAGAGAAGGATCCTGCTGGGAGTTTCTCAGGTACCATCCCTTCCAAGTGGTCAAAGTTCCTGAGTTCTAGTACCTCCAAGCTTGGGAATTCAACCTGCAAACAAGTCATCAGATCAATAGTAGTTATATCGTCTCCAGGGATGATTATAATATGTCTCCCTTTCCAGGACATCTACAATATATCAAATTTAATAATGGGAATAAGATTTTGTTGCCTTTTGTTTTGTTATTCATATATCAGATATAGAACTTAAAAAATATTGGATGAGACATTTGATGCATACTTCTGTGGATGCAGATTATGTTCTAAGAACATAATGATCACTTTCTCAATATGAAATGTAGAAACATACCTTTGGTGGGAAGATAGATTGCAAGGCAGCATTGTAATTGTCTCCAGCATCTAGATTACTATTTCTAGGGCAAAAATTCTTGATCTTTGGTAGACTTTCAAAGTGCAAGGTAGCCAGTTTAGGGAACTCTATCTCATCAATCCCTCTCGAGAAACCATTGAGGCTTGGTAGGTTCTTTAGCTCCAAGAATTCCAATTTGGGGAACACTATCTTGTTGGTTGAATTCCCATCTTCTCCCATTTCCTTCCAAACAACTTCTTCCATCATGTCACAATGACCAATGCTGAGTTTTTGGAGTTGCAGCAAACCTCTTGCAATTGACTGTGAAAAGAGATTTCTCAATCTGTCACAAAACAACAATCTAACAGATCTTAGGTTGCTGAGGCAGAAAGTAGTTTGAGTTGGATCTTCCACCAGAAAATGAGTCAAAGCAGGTAAGTGATATAGTGTAATCCCTCTTAGATGCTTTAATGAACCCACTGGAAATTGACCATGACATATCTCTTTCAGGTTAGGCAGGTTTTGCAATTCCAGTGACTCGAGGACTGGGAAAACAGCACTAGGTGAGTCCCAATACGTTGTGTTGGCAAGACATTCAGGCGTGTCACAAGAAACAAGGGTTAAATCCCTCAAGTTTTGAAGCTGACCATCTTGAAGTAACTCTTGTACTGCGGTCTCTGAACCCTCCCCTTCTAAATGCAGAAGTTCAGCACTCTTTAGCAGCTTATCAATCCCAATCTCTAAAGGAATTGGCATTTGAGGTATCAGTACCAAATGCTTTTCATATCGGAATCGACTACAATCATAGTCATTGTAGTAGTTAAAATCACCTACCGATATCTTGTATTTCACCAGGTTCTCAAAGGATGGATTTCTTGGCAGAAGCGCTGCGTCTGGTATATGAATGTCTACGGTACTCAAATGAGGTAAGGACTCCAGTTCTGTGAGGGTTGCGTTTCTTCTTCCTTTTCCTTCTTCGGCCTCCCAGTGTTTAAAGCTGTCTCTCATATACAGTTCTTGTAATTGGACTAGGCCTGATATGACGCCTGGTGATATTCGTTGAAGATTTTTACATTCTAGCAGATCTAACAACCTTAAATTAGTCAATCGTCCTATTTTTTCTGGCAACACCTCTATGGATGAACCTCGAAAGCTTAGGATTTCTAGATTGACTAACTCTCCAATTATAGATATGTCTCTCAACTGGCAAGAATGCAGACCTAATGTTTGGAGGTTTCTGAGTAACCAAAGCGATGACGGTAGTAATTGAATAGGCATGCCTGATAATGTTAGAACCTCGAGTTTTCTCATCCCCACAAAAAAATTGTATGATCTTTTTAGTGAATCATTCTTGCATGTTAACATGAGCAACTTGAGCTTTTTGCACTCTAATTCCTGTGGAAACTCATGTATTGTATCTGCTATCACTGAAATTGAATTGTAGTGATTATAAATTCTGTTCTTTGGCCACTCTCTCAATTCAACACCATGTTGTACCATGAACACATGATCATCTTTCGACGCAATTGATATGGCAACATCGCGTACTGCATCGTGCATCTTGACATGGTCATCCACGTCGCTCTTTAACAGTAAATGATAGCTTTTCAGTTTATCAACCAATGCGCACACTCGATCTCTTGCTTCCCCTAATTCATCAATGTTACTGAACAGCCTTAGCCCCATTCCCAATCTTACCAACTCTTCGATTGGAATATCATAATCTTCTTGAAATAAACAGCATAGCAAAAACAATGACTTTGTTTCCTTATTATCTAGAAAATTGTAACTGAGCTCCAGAGAGCGATGCACTTTGGCGTTCACTTCTGAGCTGCTTTCTCCACTTGGCCTTCTTAGTTGTCTAAGCGCATCATTCCACACATGCCTGTTTTTATTCCTTAGAGCCTTTCCTATGGTTACAAGTGAGATTGGTAAACCACCGCATTCGTTAGCAACCTCTTTAGCTATTTTTTGCAGATCAGGGTTCTCAACAGATTCACCAACCATCTCCTCAAAAAGTTGCCATGCTTCATCATCTGGTAGGACTTCAATTGCGATATTCTTTTCAGTTCCCATTTCATTGCACACGTCTTGAATTCGCGAAGTCAACACAGCTTTGCATCCCTTATGGTCTGTTCCAGAAGGGATGCCTACGTCTGCCAAGTCGAGGCGGGCCCAAACATCATCTAATATCACAAGAACCCTATCGACATCCTTTAGTCTCTCGCGTAGCCGACTTGCTCTTGCAAATTCACTTTCGTCTTCGAGTTTCAGACCCAACAGCTCTGCAAGATTGCGTTGGATCTTCTTCAGGTCTGCCTGTTGGCTAACAGCTGTCATCACAACCTCATCAAATAGATTCCCTGTTTTCACTTTTTGAGCGACATCTTTGACCATCGTTGTCTTCCCGATCCCACCCATACCACATATCCCAATCATGTGGATGTTATCATCCTTTAAAGCCTCCATAACCTCTCTCATAGTAGATATTCTCGACTCAAAACCGTTATCGCCACCGGTGGATGTCGAGCCCATCCCAACTACAGGTGGTGATGGTGGTGGTGGTGGTGGTGGTAGTGGAGGAGGAGGAGGAGGGTAAGACACCCTCTCAAACTTGCCATCAGCTTGGAGCTCAACAACGGCTTGAATTTTCTTCTTTGCCTTTCTACTGAGAGCGTAACGTGACTTGAGGTTGGGACACAACCCATATACACATCCATTCTGAACTTGGACCGTGTCTTCCAGAATCTTCTCTGCCTCTGTCTTGATCTCGTCCACGCTTGTCAGCCAAGCCACTACATCAGGTCCGATGACTTGTAAATTTCTTCTGTCCGCATCAACCGATAGTTGTAAGCCAACTCTCGTATTTTCCAGCTTCTCAACTTGGTTTCTGAGATTGTCGATGTTGTAACGTGACTTGAGGTTCGGACACAACCCATATACACATCCATTCTGAACTTGGACCGTGTCTTCCAGAATCTTCTCCGCCTCTGTCTTGATCTCGTCCACGCTTGTCAGCCAAGCCACTACATCAGGTCCGATGACTTGTAAATTTCTTCTGTCCGCATCAACCGATAGTTGTAAGCCAACTCTCGTATTTTCCAGCTTCTCAACTTGGTTTCTGAGATTGTCGATGTTGCTGTTGTAGTTGATCATGTAACCGAATCGTCGCCCAATTGGAGTCAATATAAACTCTCCAACTTTCGCTGCGGCATTTAGAGCTCCTCCAAGAATTGCAAAGATTTCCACCATCTCTCCTGTTAATTGACCTGTTTTCTTTTTCCTCTCTGTCTTTGGTTTATCTTTATCTTTATTATTATTATTTTTTTTGGTGGGTTTCTTGCAGCAATATATATAGGATAACACACTGAAAGAAAGGTTGAAGACAAGTGCAATGCAAAAGAAAGATATGCACAAGAATCTAATTCAAAGGTAGCAAAAAAAAGTTTCGGATGCTTACCATTTCTGCTATAATGATAGATGATGAAAGAGGCCTATGATAAATATATTTGTAGAGAGAGAGACAGAGCAGTGACTCCCAGCCAAACTGACGGAGAATGAGGTTCACAAGAGCACATATGAAGTGAAGCAACACCGATAGGGTCTGTGGCCAAGTCCGATATAAGCTCCTATTGATTCAAAATAGTGGATTTGACAATTTTAGATGGGGTCAATATATTTTTTTTCGATGAATGGCCCACAGTTTTGGACCAATAAGAGGTTTTGTTTCGTGTGAACAAATTCATTTTTGTCTGTAGCCTTGGTGGTATATACAAATTGCATTGGTTACAACGGCATTTGCAGGTCAATGGTATATATATATATATATATATATATTTATATTATTAATTTAGACTTTTAAGTATAAAAAAATCAGTTAATTAGGTCTCCCACATTTGCAATGAAGTTGCCTTTTCACCTTAGGGGTCTACATTTCATAAAACTGAGGTGTGAAAGCTTTTGTGGGTTGTGGGCAAGTTGACATTCCTTACCAACCATAAATATCTCTGTATGATGTTATTAGAAACGTAATAGCAATTTACTCATTCATAGTTTGGAACAATTATGATCTGTTATATATAATTCAGGCATAGCTGCTGAGAATTAAGCCATATATGTGTATGAACTTGTCAAAACATAAGTGATTCTGGATCTATTTTACGATGCAGGTAGATTATGAAGACACTGAAGAACTTCTCTAGAAGCGACAAAGCTTTCTCAATTCTTCTTCAAGAAATAGTAAATCCTTGTTTATGTTTTCACTTTGTTCATTTGGGAATTTGGTGATTCATCCCATAATTTGTGACTTGATTACAATTTTCTCTGCGTAATTTCCGTGTGATAAGTTGTAACCCTCCTTGCTGTTGCAAATCATTGACTATATATATTTATTTTAAAAGACTGGAGACTTAGCAGAAAGGGTTTTATGGTGAATTCTCCATAAAATTCTCTCCTCTCTGTTTTCACATTTGGATGGTTCCTCGACTGCCGATGTGAACCAATTTTAACTTATAGGGAAAGTCGTTGGTAAAATTGACCATTTTCATCTTCAGCTCTTACGGCCGGCCGGGGGTGGTATTTATATATAGAAAAAGGCTATGGTACAACCTGGTAAAAGGATGCATACCGTATGTATTTTGTAATCACAATGATTTGTAACAAATCACAATGATTTATAATTTTCTCGCCGTAATAGTTTGTAACTTTTTAATATTCATAATATAATCACAATTGTTCATTACGGAGATTCTCTCTCTTTGATGTTAAAACATTGGTAAGCAATGTGGTGTAATGACTCTCCTTGTGAGAGAGAGTTCATGGATTCCATTCTCAGAAATGAAATGTGTTGAATATGTTTCTAAACTCTTATTTCTGAATTGCACGAGTAGCCCAATTGTTAAGGATTCTTGGAACAAATCATCATCTTGTATCAAATTTACTCTATACACGTAATTGTCAGGTGATTGCATGTATGTAAGATTTTATTTTGTAATGATAAGTCCAACTTGACTCTACCTCAGAAAGCTTTCTCGTTAGAAATAGAAAAAAAGAAAATGTTAAAACCTTCATCACAATTAACAAACACGCTAACACGTATATAATGTAGATAAATAAATTTTCCTAGTGTTTATGTTTTATTTATATAAGTACTTATTTATAATTTTTTATTAATTGATGTGACATTTATTATTTTATTTTTATAAATTTCATTTTTTAACTTAAAGTTTCATTATTAAATATCATATCAATTCATATAAAAAATTATTAATCTGTACATAATTTTCAAACTAGTAATCCACCAACAAAGAACCAATTCACAATACCACAATAGCATATTAATAAAAATGAAATACATGAAATCAGAATAAACCAAGTGGCCGGGGAGAGTTTCCTTCCATGTGACTGAAATTTTGTTGGAAAATTATCAATTAGTACTTTCAGAAAATTATTACAGATTTATGAAAAAAATTAAAATTTTAATTATTAATATTTATAAAAATTATTATTTATCTGTAATTTTTTCTTAAGAACTTATACTTAATTGATATTTTTCCAATTTTGTTTAGGTGTTTTTGAGGAATGGTCCTATAGGTCTACCATGGGCTTATGATGTTGGATTTTGTAAAACTCATCATGAGTTTTATTTTGATGTTGTAAATAAGTTAAATTACTTGGAAGTTTTATTTAAAAGAGGAGAAATCTATTTTAGTCTCACAATTTTTTAGATACTCTCAAAAGTCTACTACGTATTTTTTTTTCTTCATTTTTCTTTGTGCATTCATTCTTATCTGTCTCTTTCTTTTCCTTTCCAGTGATTGACAATCATGCCTTACTTTTGTTCTTTCTCTTTCTACATGAGAACAGATTAGATTTAAACTAAAAATAGTTATCGGAGTACAATCTTCTCTATATATTTGTTTCTTTCTTTCGATCTCTCAAATTTTTTACATTTTCTTTGTTACACACTTCTATTTTCTTGTTTTAATGGAGAAATTTCTCAAATTTTGAATAAATTATTTTCGAGTTTTAGTTACAGACGGTAAAACAGTAAAATTTTAAAGTTTTAATTTTTTTGGTGCTGAAATGAATCATGTTTTAAAGCTGTAAAATTTTACAGTTTCATAACATGTTTTTTAGTTTGATTAATAAGAATAAATGATTAATAAAATCATGCTTTAAAATTGTAACATTTTATAGTTTCAAAGCTTGCCTTTTAGTTTGATCATATTAGAGATTATTTACTTAAACCCTACAAAAATTAAAAAATAATATATATTTTTCCTATTGTTGTTGTTTATTGTTTTTTTTTTCAAGTTATCAATATTTAACACATTTTGTTATATTTTTTCACTACAATTTCTTCATTTTTTTTCCGGTAATATTCTGGACATTCCGGTGAATATCCGATGATTTTTTTGATGTCCAGCGAACATTTTGGACATTCTGACAACTTCCAGTGATGTTCAGAACACTCCGGCGAGACTCCGATGAACTTCCCGGTGATGTTGAACATTCCGGCGAGTCTCTGGTAACCATTTGACAGAAGTTCAGCGATGGTAAGATGTAATAGCATTTTTAAATTTATATTAAAAAAAAGAGATTTTTTTTGTTGTTGTAATAATTAAAATTATATAGGATTAATTTGTGCAAGTGTTTTGTTTTTGAATTATATGAATTTTAAACTTTGTATATGAGGCTTACTAGTAAGTGTCCCTTTATTTTATAAGACTTTGTATGTAGATCATTTATAACAAATACTGAATCAATATTTATAGTCATAAAATATTATCATATTTATTTTAAAAAATAAATAATTTATTCTTAATAAAATCATATAATTATAAATAAAATTTTTCATTATTACAAAATCAATGATCCAACAGCAGCTCAATCTTTATCCCATTGTGGTATTATTGTCTAGTTATTTTATGGAATTGAATTATTTGAAGCTGGTTATCTAATTTGAGAGATCATTTAAGCTTAGCGGGTTTATTTTAGAGTCAATTTTAGTAATTTAAATTATTCACTTTTTAAAATTTATTGAGTAAAAATATTCATTCAAAAAATTAATACAACAATGATAGAGGGCCCTAATTTCTGTGGCTCAAATGGCTCGAATTTGTCAAAACGACGTCGTTTTGAGTACAAAACAACATCAAAATTGCCAAAACGATGTCGTTTTGGCAAATTTGAGCCATTTGAGCCACAGAAATTAGGGCCCTCAAACATTTTCCAAATTAATATGATTGAATGTTATAAAAAAATAAACAACAATTATAATTTTAAGAGTAACTATTCATATTTTGTAATATAAATATGATTCAAATACATAACTATCGATATTCAATCATCTTAATTTTTACTATTGATATTTGATCATCATAATTTTTTACATAAATATTTTACTAAACAAGTATTAAAAAAGGAACAATTCAAATTACCGGAGACTCAATCAATTCAACCACTTTCTCAAATTGAAATGCCTAGTGACGGGGAATTCTATTAACACTCAAAAAATATTTAAATGAATCTAATTTTTTTAATACACCTTATTAAATTATTTAGGGTAATAATTTATTCTTAGTACACCCCTTTTTTTCCCCTCCAAATTACTCTTTTGAGGTACACTCAAATTCGTTCAAAAAAAAAAAAAGAAGGTACACTTAAATAAACCTCAAACCCTAAACCTCAAACCCCAAACTCCAAACCTAAAACCCTAAATCCTAAAAACCCTAAAACTCTAAAACCTAAATCCTAAACCCTAAATCATCAACCAATCATATGACTTACAGGTCCAGAAAATGGATCTAAAAAGTGGGCTTAGATATCATTTTCCATTTGAAAAATACTAACTTCCTTAACTAGAAGAAGAGAATGAGGGCTTCTCATGTATGGAGAAGTATGCTGAAAACTAGAAACACCTAAACCACTAAACCACTGAAACACCCACACCATTAACATCTAAAATGAAATCAACAGCATGTGAGGAAGTTGTCTCAACTTCTCCGTTAAGAAAGAAGACAAAAAGAGAAATCAAAGCCACCAGAGGATAATCCAAAAATGCTGTGATCTAGAAATTTTCAATTACACCAGAATTTTAAGATTATTATGCTTGTTCTGTATTAGTGAAAAAGATCATTAAAAATGTTAACTCAATCAAACTTTAATTACACATGAAAAAATCAGCAAGACAAAAAAAAAAAAAAAAATTGCAAACAAGTCGCTCATATGCAAAGAACAAAAACAGGAAAAAAATCCTCTAATTATATGATAGATTGATCCTAGGATGCACAAAGCTTCTCCTTGCCAAGAATGGGAGATAGTAACGTGATATTTAGA